TCCGTTCCTTTGTCCAAGAGCAGTTTGACAATATCTTGATGGCCTCTCGCCGAGGCAGCCTGAAGAGCGTTGCCGTAGTAGCCGCCCTGCTTGTTGACTTCCGCTCCTTTGTCCAAGAGCAGTTTGACAATCTCTTGATGGCCTCTCGCCGAGGCGGCCTGGAGAGCGTTGCCGTAGTAGCCGCCTTGCGCGTTGACGTCTGCTCCTTTGTCCAGGAGCAGTTTGACAATCTCTTCATGGCCCTTCACCGAGGCGTCCTGGAGAGCGTTGCCGTAGCGTCTGCCTTGCGCGTTGACGTCCGCTCCTTTGTCCAAGAGGAGTTTGACAATATCTTGATGGCCTCCCGATGAGGCGGCCTGAAGAGCGTTGCCGTATTCGCCGCCCTGCTTGTTGACTTCCGCTCCTTCGTCCAAGAGCAGTTTGACAATATTTTGATGGCCTCTCGCCGAGGCGACCTGGAGAGCGTTGCCGTATCGGCCACCCTGCGCGTTGGCGTTCGCTCCCTTGTCCAACAGCAGTTTAACAATCTGTTGATAGCCTCCCCATGAGGCGGCTTGGAGAGCGTTTCCGTAGTAGCCACCCTGAGCGTTGACGTCTGCTCCTTTGCTGATGAGATCCCGTGCAGACGCTACGAGTCCAACGAAACAAGCATAGTAGAGCCTGGATCCTTGTGGGGGACCTGGGTCATGGTCCCACGCCCTATCAGCCTGATATAGTCGAGCCCACCGTTGGAACGTTGCTTCCTTTTCTAGGAAGCTGATTGTCGCTCGAACTATATCTTCCGAATCCTGAACTAACGCAGCGTGGTTCACCCAGACTTCTGCCGCATATCTTGCCAATGGAAAATCCCGCTTGATTTTTTCGTAATCACCGTTGATGTCTGTAAGATAAGTCAAGCACGTCGTCGTGATGGAAATGCTGGCAGTCGGGATGTTGAATTGGTTGTCTTCAAGGAGGTACTCTTTGACGGAAAAGTGGGCAAGATGTAGCTCCTTATCGGTGGAATCGCGCTCCTCATCGGTTGCGTGAATGACTGTCACTAAGCCGGGACAGTAGTCTAAAACGTAGGTCTCGTGAAACAGTCGACGTTTGACGTCAAACCGTGGCTCGTGTTCGATCTGTGTTGCTATTACTTCTTTAGCCTCGGCCAGCTTAAGAGGTCTCTTCGAGTGCACTAGAAACTGCAGGAGCCGTATCGCGTCTCTTTGACGGTCCGCCGGTATGTTTTGAATCATGCGTCGGTATGTTTCTTCCAGGTTCCGTGGTAAAGATTCGAGACTTTCCTCAATAGCCGCCTCATGAGGGCATCGAGCCAGGCTGTTCAATTGACAGAACGCCCATCTGAACCTAAGCAGAGCGTCAGCAAGCTATTCGTATATCAATTGGAGTGGGTAAAATCTCACATCCCGTCGGCCCCGTCGCCAACCTTCCTCTGGATCCTCTCGAGGAGATCCTGGGACAAGCGCTGGTCCCGAAACTCACGTCGTTGCAAAAGCTGTGCTATGACGTACGATCGGATATCGGCGTTGACGGAATTCTTGTCGAGTGCCAAGCAGTTTTCCTCGCCTATCAACGAGGGGACGACGCGCACGAACTCGGGTTCTGGCCGACCGGTACAAATCAGCTGGACATGGCCCAACTCTGGCCTGAACACCACGTCGTTCATCCACAGGAGAAGTTCACCCCTTGTCGTCGACTCATCCAAGGCGTCCAGAACAATAGAAGCTTTCTTCTGGACTGCGAACATCTTGTTCACAATGTCCTCGAGCGCCTTCGTACCCGGTTGGTCGCGCCCATTCTGGTGTGCTTGGAAGGAGGCGTCTAGAAGACCTGCAGAACCAGGCCCGCCTTGGTACAGTTGGAAAGCGAGCGATCGCAGCATGCCATCCACGGTCTGCTTTGTCGTGTCGCTAAAGTCAAAGAAGAAGCTAAGGATGAGACGGTCGTTTCCCTTCGCAAGATGATCCAGCACAGTCGAACTGAGAACTGTTTTTCCACATCCCGCGATCCCGTTCAGCCATAAATGTCGACGCGACCCCGAGTGCCAGTCCCTGAAGACCGGGTTTTCCAGGAGCCATGCGCCTGTACCCTCATGGCGAAGCTTCCTCGCGTGGTTGGCGTTTGCAGACGGATCTGGGGGACAAAGCCAGCGCTTGATCTTATCGGCACGAAGGTCAAACCTGATGGAATCAATTGCAGCTTTCGCTGCAACTGCCGTCTGCTGCACGCCATTGATCTGTTGTTGAACTACTCGCAGTCAGGTCGCATTCCAGGTTGAAATGATGGTGTCGCGTATTTGCTAGTTTAGCCCTAGTGAACGAAACAAGAACTAACCCGACTGAAGCACTTCCAGTGCCCTCTTGGTCTCGTGGACCTCCGCGGACGGCACGTACGCCAGGAGCTCCTTGGCATACGCAGCGGCGGTGGCCGAGGCGTAGCGTTGCCACCTATCGTTTTTGTGAGAATCGGCGTAGTCGCAGATGCCTCGGATCACAAGACAGGGAAAGTGGTTCATCAGGCCGGCCGCTTCCATCTCAACGCAGATGCAATCCTCGCCGACGTCAGCAACAATCCGATCGCGCGTAGCAGCGTCTTTGATAAGTGTGTTGCCGGATGCGATGATCCCGTAGTGGATCTCTGGGTCAGTAGATTCTCGAGGATCGCGTTGAACCTCGTCAGCCGTGTCACAGCCCCGACAGTCCGGCCCTGGGACGTGATCGCATGACGCTTTAAAGAGGCGGTCATTGTCGACGCCCTGGTGAGCATAGCCAGGATTTTGCTTGGATCTCTTGCCCATCCTCGGGTTCTTCTCCAGCATCTCTTGGAGGAAGCAGGGAATTTTAGGGTCTTTCCGCTCGTGATCGGCCTGGATGCTGGCAAGCGCATTGAGGAGGACCGTTGGAGGCCGCCCGAGGAAGCCTTTATGCTCACGCTTGTTACCCGACTTTGCCTTGACCAGGTCGTACTGGCAAACGCCGCCCGTGGCCCCATCGGGCTGGCACACGACGACGTCGCCGAGCCGGATATCGCGGCCCTCGTCCGGTCGAGCGATGCCGCCGCCTATGCCGACCAAAAGACCAACACGGATGGATGGCAGGGAGGCAAGTAGGTGAGAGGCCGTGGTCGCAGCCGAGGTGGTTCCGTAGACTCCAGCGGGTAGAGAGGCAATGACGACGTTGTGCTCTCCCAAGCGGCCCCAAGTATAAACGTTCGCGTCAGTTTGCTGTCGGGTGAAACCAAATGGAGCTGCATGTTGCTCATCGAGCATCGCTTCTGCAGCGGCCCGCTCGATGGGAAGAGCAGCGATCCAGGCGACCGTATAGGAGTCGGGGCTGTCGAGGACGTTGTGGGATGCCATGGTGCGGAGGACAGCGCACGAGGCCGTCAGATGTGCTGGTGGAATATACGGTGGCGCGGTTCTGCCTACGTCAACGAGGAAGCTGGAGTTGAGTCATGGGACAGAGTAGACATGATAACTGCATATTTATTTTATCAAGCTCAGTTGAAGAGCGCAGCCTTGTCAGTGCCGTAAAAAGACGCAAGCAAGCTGAAATAACCAGGTCGGGGTTGGGCCGCAACGTGATGCTGTGGGGCGCTTGCATGCAGCACCCTCCAGCAGGCCGGACACATGATTGGGGTTGGTCAATACCAAGAACCTGCCTCCCACATGGCCACCATTTCCCTGCGCCAATGGTGCAGGTCGACGAGTGGCTTCTCGGCGTTGTGGCTGGTAGGGTGGCTGGGTCAAGGCTAGAGTAGAGTCCGTGCAGGTCACGTGCATGTGTAAAATCCTACAGCCATTTATTAGCACATTTCCTTCCCACGAGACATCGACAAACTGAAAAAGGCACAGTCTGCACAACCCTGAGGCGAGAGAGGGAGGAACTTCTTTTTATCTGCCCTTTTTGACCGCGGTACTTGTCAGCTCAATCCAACAGAAAATCGGTTTTTTCGGAAGGTGAGCCGCCCTGCCAAGGGAGCGCGAGATGGCGGCGGCGGCGCAACCTGAGGCAGTGATCGAGGTGGCCGACCGCCCACCCTCACCGAAACGACCGAGCCGCGCCCTAAAACCGAGTGCGAAAGTCCGTGAAGCGATGCAATCGCTGGAGGATG